AGTTTGTGTGGGATATTGTGCGGGTGGTGGGAACAAGATATTCCATTGGAAGGGACATCTGAAACGTAGGCTGCAGATGTAGAGAATCCTTACCTCATTAGTTCTTGTGTTCACTGAGTTGCTTGTACTGTTGTTTTTCTACATTCTTATGGTTGCTGTGCTTGAGATGTCATTACAGGGATCCAGTTTTCAGAGCAGGGGCAAGTCATCATCTAAAAAAGCCCTAAAATGTACCTTGAGGTAGCTCCTATAAAGGACACAGGTATTGATTACTGATGAGCAATTTCCAACCTTTTAATTATAAAACAGTTTGAACTGTAGTCTGTCTATCGTACTCTGAATGATGCCCAGATTTGAAAAAAGTCCTTTGGAGTTTCCTAAGAACCTTCCTCATGGCTTTCACGACAACCAGAATGTTCTAGTGTGCAATAAGCATTTTCCTGAGAGAAAAGAACTACCACTTCAGTTCTGGTATGTGAAAACTATACTGTTAAAATTCTTGTGGCTTTACAAACTATTTTGGTAAGCGATGTAAAAATGTCTTCTTTCTCTGACGTTTTTTGCATTTCGGTGTGTGCATTGTGGTGAGCTTTTTTCTGTCCTTCCTGTTGTGACACTATATAACTTCATCCCTATGTTTATACACTGTGATTTATGTCAAAATTGGGGTTTACAGCTTCCTCCATTTGTTGTATTTTGCACTGCTCACCATAATTCAGCTACAGGAAATTCAATGAAAGGCTGCCTAGGATTGTCTTGTTCCTAAGGTGTTTTCACCTTAAAGATAATTTTTTTTGGTAGGTGCAGTGTGAAACCGTTGTAAGCATTCTGTGTAATGTGTTTGTTGCATAAAGCCACTACAATGAGAGCAGTGCTTTGTGAAGTGTTTCTGCTCCCAGCCTCTGGTAGCTGCAGGTATTCCCTGGAGCAGGTATCCAGGTTACCAGCCTTCCAGAGCTCTGGCAGCACAGGTGGGAGGCAGCAGCATCTGTCCTCTGATGAGCAAAATAGTCCCTTTGCTGCAGTGACAATAAATCTGAAAGTAAATTTTTAACAAATCCTTCTTGACCTTTTAACAAGAATGAATATGTTTAATCTCAGATTTAGCAGCAAGGTTACATGATATAAACCACCCCCCGCCCCCCGTCAAATTTGTGGTTTATGTTAGACATTTAGAGTGAGCAAAACTAATGAGAGAGGGGATCATTGCAACTCTCTCTGGGTTGTCATTATAGAATTATGAAGATTTGTTTCTTGGAAGCATTTTTAAAAATAATTTTCAGTGACAGATTGCAAAATTACTTTGCTTCCTCTGATTTTTTAAATGCATTGTAGCTTTCATGCCAATCTATCAATACACAGCTAAAATGGATGTTTTCAGAGGTTGCCTTGTAGTATGCCTAGTTTACTGGAAAAAATTACTACTCATTACCAACCAGAATGCAGAAATAGTATAAATCAGAAACAAATATTTCAGCTCTTCTGGTCTTAAGAGCAGACATTATGCTACTTAACACAAGAACTTTAGAGGCAGGTGAAGTATGCACTTACTTCATTGTATTCTAGAGAACAATTTCCAGTATTCAGGTATGCTTTGAAGATGGAAGGAAGCACATCAGAGTAAATTAGTGCCCAGGGGTTGGTGGTGGTGGTGTCATTATTATGTGGTGTCTTTGATTAGGAAATAAAATCCATGGTTGTGCATTCAGCCTTTCCTGAATCTGATTGTAAAAGGTGCATATAGGTAGGCAAAGGCCATTTGAAATTTTCTTTTCCTAAGTAATAGAATTTTGAATAAAAATTTTGAACAGTTTCCAAGTTCTGTATTTTTTAAGTTTTGATCCTGTAAGCTGATGATCAGCAGTCAGCACAGTGTATGTAGTAAGCTGCTTCTCAGGATTGCATTGCTAATGGAGAGCATTCTCTTTCTCAAAATTAATGATTGCTATACACTTCCTTATATTTGCTGTCTACCCCTACATCAGATTTTCTTCATATACCAGTTCAAGAGAGAGGCTTTTGTTAGTACTGGAAGCCTGTTACTTCAACACATCCATAGTGTGTGTGTGTCTCAACACGAGTCAACAAGATTCTATGGATACTCAAAATATTTTGAAACCATATGAACAGAATGTGTATTTTCCTCTGCCTAGTAAAAATCAGTCCTAAAGTCTTCATAGACTTATAATATGCAGAATCCAACCAGCTTGGCAAATAAATTGTTTGTTAAAACAAGTTCTGTCTATGTCTCCAAGCTGCATTAAGACAAAATAGCATTTTGTTCATGCCAGGTACTGGACTGTCTGCTGGAGACTCAGGCTTTCTATTCAAGCAGGTTGGAGCAGATTTTTGACATGACCAATGACCTTCCTAGGGAAGAATGTTAGCAAAAAATTTGTTCTTTGTACACATTTTATGGGATGAGGAGAGAGGTGATTTTATGTTGCCTGTTAGGTAGTGTATGATGTCCTGAATGAAGAAAAAAATTCATTGCTTTTTTTTTAAGAATTAGTGGTTCAGTGGAAGAGAAGTCATCTGAGGATTAGTCCTTGTTTAATGGGCTTATTCTAGGTTACTCTGATACTGATTATGAGGCTAAATATAAAAGTGTTGTCTTTTTAAGAAGGGAACTTGATCTGGAGATCTGTACCACAATTTACGAGTGCTTTTTTTCAGTAATGTTTGCCTGAGTCCAGATTAGATACATTAATAATTAGGAATTATTTCCATCTTAATAGTGATGTGAAAAGTTTACTCCATGGCTAATTTGCCACTTGTTAGTTATGCTTCTAAATTGCACCGAAGCATCTTGATTAGTCTTACTGTTTAGTGTTGTGGTGGTTTAACATCAGACAGAAATTAAACTGCAAATAAGCCTTTTCCCCTTCCCCCTCTGGTGAGAGAGGAACAAAGTCCAAGATGTGGGTTGAGAGAGCAATTTACCGAAAGCAAACAGGAATGGAATAAGAAATGCACTGTAAAAGCAGCAATATTAGCAACAAAGCAATATTACCAAAAAAAAAAAAAAGTGCTTTACACACAAAAGGTGTTCACCACCTCAGCTTAGTTCTGGCTTCCCCAGACAAAGACAAGATGGCGGGTGCTCCCACAGTCAGTGCTTTCCATCCCTAGCTCCGAGACAATGAAAAGCAGTGATGGACAACCCCCTGAAAGCCAGGTCACATTGCGCCATGCCACCTGTTTCTGGGCAGCTCTGCTGGGACCCTGTTCCATGGGGCACTGTAGCTTCTGACCAGTCCCTGCCTCTGGGGCTTGGTTTGGGCTGAGCTCCTCTTGTCCCGGTTTTGCTGCCGCTTTGTTCCCCATGGCCACTTCCGGCGCTGGCACCGTGCGGCGCTGGTTCTGCTGAGGTTTGGCGCTGTGCCAGCTGCACTTTCTGACCACTTTGCCAGGCTCGGCTCCACGTGGCTCAGCTGCTTTCATCACCCAGAGCTGCACTCTCCTGAGGGGTGGGAAGGGGTGGACAGGGTCCTCATGGCTGGTCATGGCAACCTCTCCCAGAGGGAGAGTGGAGACAGTGTCCCACCCTTTGCTTCCTTTGAAGCAAAACCAGGGCTGGTGTCTTCTGTGTTTCCTCAGATGGGTGTCTGAGTCAGCTGTGTGCTTTAAACCCATGTCGCAATTAATTTGTTGTACTGAACTCGTCTTTGTTCCTACTTTATTCCTATGCATTTGTCTTTTATACGTCTGCTTTCAAATGTAATTTTTTGGTGTGTTATTTTTGTATTCTGGTGCTTCTTCATTATTCTTTTTCATATCTTCCTTCTTTCTCACTGACCTATTTTTTGGCATCTATTGTATTCATCAGCGATTTTCATCTAGCGTTATGTGACAGGTTCTTCTGTAGGAGTTTATAGGAGACATGCTGGGAAAAGATTTCATTTGTTCTCCTTTTGCAACTGTGCTTGTGTCTGAAATTGTGTTTAAATGTGATAGGAATGCTAAAAAAGACTCTGGTGCATCTAGATGTTGCCTGTGCCCAAACCTGCCACATTTTTATCAGTTTAAATTTCTGTAAATCAGAAGAAGACAATAATGCATTGTATTTCAGAGTCTTTTACTGGGCAGTAATTATTAATATTAGCTATCAAGTGTACTTAATGTACTTGAGTTAATGTCATTGTGACAAAGTTGCACAAAATCATCAGCACCAGAGGTTAGTTTTACATTTTGGCTCCACATTAAGAAGCAGCCATACATAAACAACCAATCAAGTAGAAAAGAAACCATTTTCTAACCCTGAGTTTTCAAAGGATTATCAAGTTAATGGCTGCATTTTTATTCTGGTTTTGTAGACCGTACTCATTCAGGGATTATAATTTTAAATTAAATGAATCCTTTTAATTTTATCACTCTTTTAAAAATCTGATTACTTGTGGCACTCTTTTGCTTTCATCATCTATGCTTGGTTTCAACTGTCTTACATTCTAATCAAACTAAAGTGATGTACTGAGGATGAATTATGCTGATGCATATTCAGAAAAATATAAAGGAATACTGGACTTTTTTCTAAATGTCTTAATATGATTGTAAATAGGTAAAAACCCCTTGATTGTATATGTTCTGTTAAAAATACTATTCCAGAATCCTTTGGTGGTGTTAAACTACCTGAAAATGCAGAATATCATGTGACATCAAAAAGAAAGGATGCTACATCTATTTATATGTACTGTGTTTAGTCTAAAATTCTGTAAGATTTTATATCTTATTCTGTCGGTACAAAATACTGGAACTTCTGTCAGTCCCCATAATAGTTAGGCAGTAAAACTCCAGCTCATGAATGTGTTAAAGGTGGTCATATATCACCCTTCCTGACCACTACTGATGAGAGTCATGTTGATTCTTACAGAAATAAATGTTGTTTTGGGAAAGTTCTTGGAAGAACTTAGAGGTTCTTTTTCAACAAAAGAATTGTTTGAATTAATTATGCAAAGTTGATTTCTATTAAAATGTTGGGGGACTTTATATTTTTTTTTAAGTGTGCAGTTCGTGCAGCTACTGAAGGCAGAATCCTTGTTCTGGAAGGCTTGGAGAAGGCTGAGCGGAATGTCCTGCCAGTGTTGAACAATTTGCTGGAGAATAGGGAAATGCAGCTTGAAGATGGCCGTTTTCTCATGTCTGCAGATCGTTATGACAAACTTTTGAAGGTATGGAAATGCTATTTGAATTTTCTTTTTCTTTTTTTTTTGCCTCCTCTTCTTGGTAGTGCTGGAATATTATAGTGAAGGAGACAGTACTTAGGAGTCAAGTGGGAGAAATTTCACCTAGGTTTCAGTGGTTTTTTTCTATGTTGTCTACGTATGAAAAATAGGAGTCCATGCTAACCTTATATGAAGCCTGTATGTTTCTAAAATGTGAAAGCCACAATGTGAGAATAACTAAAATGTCATTGTGAAAAGATATTTAAGTTGAAATTCTTGTCACGAAGTCCAGATAATGCTTCAGCATGGCAATAGCCTTGTTGCTAAGCTTTTAAAATATTAAGATACCAAAAGAATGAGGTCAAGATGAATATCTTTATATTCAGTCACTATATTGGCGCTGTTTTGCCTTTAATTTACAAAAGTATATGTAAACAGCAGTCTAAACTATAGAAAATGGTTAGAGGCTGTTCCTTTGATAGGAAATGGGACTTCAGTGTCTGCTGTCATTACTGCTTTAAACCATTTTCATTCCTTTAGAGTTTGAGTCCCACTGCTTGGATGGATACTCGTCAGGTTTGGGGTTTTTTTTACAGTTTCAGTAGTACTTTGCATCTTAGTTCCATGTACTGTAGTTTCCAGTCACATACCTGTCAGTCTGATACCTGCTTCCTCACCTGCTTCTTCATGTTTCTGTTCTGTCACACCTGTGGTTAGGTGTATGGTTCAAACCCATGTGGCACAGCAAGGAAATTTGCAATAAGCCTTCAGACACTGATCTCGATTGTATGAGGTTGCCAGCTGTGCTGAAGTACCATTAAAAAAAATTGTAATATTTAATTAGTAGATGCAATTACTGGAATCATTATTATTATATTTCAAAAACAAGCTTTGAAAATGTAATTGTATTTAAAGAATGAAAATGAGAATTCAAAGTAAGGTTTGGTTGTAAAACATCTCTCTTCCTTTTAAACACTTTTCTGATGATTAAATGTTTCAAAACGACTGCCTCAGGCACACTGATAATAGTATATGAATTAAATAAATCTCTTGCTACAATACTAAATCTAATATTGTTGTTTTGTTGTTTGGGGACTATTGTATTATATAAACTAAGTTTCAATTTCGCTTCTCCTGTGTGAACAATTACTGAGCATTTAGGTCTGATGGAAATGTATTTGTGTATAGTTTCAGGGAGGACTTAACTGTGATGTGCATAGAGATAATTTTTTAACGTCTAGAATCCTTTGCTTGATATAATACAACATTTAATGTCCTCATGAAGGAGACTAATTCTGTATTATTTCATATAATAAAGTATAATTTATGAATGAAGCTTCTAAAATGGAGATTTTAGTTGCCTTTACACTTACGAGGGAGAGAAATAAAGAAGAAAAAAGGCTTGTTCATTGTAACACACTTGTAGTGTTTTAGAATAAAATATATTTTGTGCTCAGTTTATTTTCTGTTCTTTGTAAAAAGAGTGTTGTATTTGTACACTTTCACAAGATGTAATGTAAGGTAACATCACAACAGTCACCATCATCTCTAGGGTTTTTGGTCATAATGTTACAGGTCTGAAAGCTATAACTTATTAATAATTTTTTCTGTGTTCATTTTGGAAAAACTTGTTTTCATCATCTACAGATTTCACCAGTTCAAGTCTTTCTAGTCACTGCATGAAAGATGAGAACATTTGAAAAATTACCACATTTAGGCTGAAGGACTGGGGCTTTTAGTTGAGCTGGAGCTTTGTCATCATAAGTTTTCAATGATGCAATGTGGGGTTTTTTTCCTGTTGCTTTGTTTTAATTTATTTAGGAGCATACAAAATCAGAGTTAGATGCATGGAAGATTGTTCGGGTTAGTGAAGATTTTCGAGTGATAGCCTTGGGCCTGCCAGTACCTAAATACTCTGGTAACCCTTTGGATCCACCTCTCCGCTCTCGATTTCAAGCGAGAGATGTTTATCATCTACCCTTTAAGGTGAGTGTGGTAGCAGAAGATTGGATCATTTGTATTGAGTAGAGATAAAATTCTGATGTTATGTTTTACTTACCTCACCTCTGAAAAGAATTCTTTGGTAACAAATTTATCTTAAGGTGCATTTTTCATATTTTCATATTGCATAATAAATTCCTGACATGCAGTCTTAGAGTTGCCATGGAATGTTGCAGCAGAAAGTAACTTCCATAGCACAGCCCTAAAAGAAAGAATTTGATCTATCTTTTGTTCTTAAATAAAATTAATTCTGTGTCAAGGAATGAGTAGAATCCTCATGTCTAAATTAGAGGGAAAGATAGAGAATGCTTCGTATCATGACCTGTGACCCACAATATGGTGCCAAAATTAATTTACTCTGTGATTTTATGTTCTATTTCCAGGACCATCTTCAGCTGTTATATTCAATTGGATCAAACATTTCCACAGAGAGGTAATTTTTCATAATTAAAAAAAAAAAAGAAGAATGAAGAAGCTATGTCCTTTCAGAATTCCATGCTATTTTTGTGTCTCTATCACTGCATAGACACGAGAAGTGAAGAAATTTTTAATATATGTGGGCATATGCTTGCATGCAGCCTTCATATTATGAATTCTTCATGCTTTAGAAAACTTCGGTCACACCTTACTTGTGTGCACTCAGAAGTAGTTTCAGCATCTTTTGCTATATTTAACATTTTATGCTTTAGTATTTGAAATACATATAGCATGTATAAAACTCTGTAATTACTTTTTCATATGCAGAATTTCTCAGCTCCTGTCTTTTGCTACAACTCTCTGCTCTCAAGAATCTTCTACATTGGGACTTCCAGATTTTCCTTTAGACAGCTTATCGGCTGCAGTTCAGATTTTGGTATGTGCATACATGTGCTGTGAAACTGTATGGGTTTAAAATTGCTCGGAATTAGATTTGGTTTATTCATGTTGTTAGAAGAAGATTAACATGAATATTTGAAAAAAACCCTGAAAACACTAAGAATAGTTTGAGGGAGAAAAGTCTCAGTCAGATACCCCTGGATAATACTTTCACCAAACATATAGCATAATACTGAAGAACAAAGTATGGTATGACATAAGATTGTGTTGTTATTAAATGTATTTTAGTGCTCAATTGTTTTCTCCCCCTCTGGTAAGTAAATCACCTTACCAGACTTCAGGCCATCTAGAGTTTATCTCATGGCACTGAGGCATCAAATGGAGAGAAATAAAAACCACAACCTAAAAGTGCTTTGTATTTAATGTTACACATGTAAATCAGATTGATTGCATTACAAAGATACATTTTCCTCTCCACTGAGGGACCTTAAAGGGTCCAAAACAAATGTGGGCCTAGGAAACAGTTAAATTGTATGAGAGGAAGCCTACATTAGGTCTCTGGGCTGACTGGTGGAAGTAGAAGAAACTGAAATGGAGGATTATGTGAAGATGCAGGCTGTGCACTCTCAAAGATGCAGTGCTTCCTGACAGCTAAGTCCAGATGGAAATAGGAATTGTACCTGTGCAGAGTTTTCAGTGACAGGTCAGGCAGCTCAGGACTAAAGCTGTGTCAGTCTTTCTGCTTTCCTGTATAGTCCTTTGTCCCTTGGACTTTATAATTACATGGTAAAAGGTCAAACACAACATGGAAGGTGCCTCCTGGAGGAAGTCAGGGACATGAGATATGTATAAAGAGAGAGGGGTTGGTGCCCTTTTGCATTCAGGAACGTATGGTCAACCCCAGAGGGTAAAATGCCGGGAGAGTTTCTCAGGCCCACTCTCCAAGGTGCAGGTGTCTGTAGAAGGAAGTCTAGACACTTCCCTGTTGTCTCATGTGCAGTCATTTTATCTATGGTACAGCTCAGCAGCAGATCACTTCCTACATATTTTATTGGAATACAAACATTAAAGCATATCAATTACTTGTGTTACTGTGGTGCTCAATCCCCTCAGTTGTGCTGTATACTTACAGACAGAATTTTCTGAATTAGGGGTCCTGCATTAGATATTAAGAAGTGATGAAAATTCAAGTTCAGTGAAATGAAGTAGTATTTGAAGGGCTTTGGGAAAAAATGTTGTTGGATTTTGAAATAAATTGCAACTTTTTATTCTTTGAGCTGCAAAGTGAAAAATTATTTTTAAATGAATGCCAGATGGCTTTCAGAGTAATAGAAAGAAAATGAGCCCTAAGCTATTATCTAAACTATGGAGTGAAGGAAGCATTTTATTTTGCATTAGAGAATGTGAATTGTTACCATTGTATGACAGTGTCTTTTTTAGGTAAATGTAAACTGTTTCTTTTAGAATTAGTTTTATTCACTTGGATTTCTAAGCTGTGCTCAGTCATTTCGAGCTACATCATTTTTCCTTTGTATGTTGGGTCAGTGCCATACTCTGCTTCTAGTTTAGCTAGTCTAACTGTTTAAAAGCGTGAAGAGAGTGCATTGTGATGAGTAGTTTCTTATCTTCTGTCATAGAATCACATAGTCCCAAAACATAATTTCTTAGTTTGAGAACTCCTGTCTGACAAAAGGGAAATTTTTTCGTAGGGTCTTGTTCTGAAGAGGCTTATTTTATACATTCCATTGTAATTATTACTAATTTGAGATAATGTGGAAAAATTACATGGTATGTCTTTATATATAGATGAAGGGCTTTTAAAATGCAATAAAGGGCTCCCTGATCCTTCAAGCTGTACATTTACTATAGTGCAATAAATGGTTTATTTTTACTGGGGTTTTTTTATGTGGAACATTATAAATAGAGTTATTGCTTATAAATTGAATTACGCATTTCATAAAATATGTGTCTCCTGGTTTCATTTCCAAGGAACTCTTCTTTCAGTTGTGTGCTTATGTAAATCCAAGTGTATAACTGAAAATCAGTTTTATTTCTTTGATGAAGGCTTAAAAGGATAGTTCCAGTCAAATAACTGTTTTCCACTAGTGTTACACACAAATAGTCCTTAAAAAGTTGTAAGTCAATTTCGAAGCAACCGATCAATATTTAATCAGTTGAGAGAGAGTTTGAAACGCCTTTCTCCTACCAGGAAAGGCTTTGTGCATGGTGTCTTCAGTAGTCATAAATGCATTTCTCTTTCTTTATTACTACAGCAACAGAGTCAAATGTGTTTCTAGTTCAGGCAGCAATTGACAAAAGAGTACTTAAATTTGACAGGGAGATAGTAAAAAAAAAAAAAAAAGGTTGGGCTTTTTCTCTGTAGGAAGTGCAAACATACTTAGTTACTCTTTTCAAAACAGCACAGTTTTAATTAAATTGTTCAGAAATTTCTATCAACTGATTTGTTAAGTGGAACTGGTACAATATAATAGAATCAAAAATAAATACTATAAATTGCTGTGAATGTGTAGATTATTATTGAAATACAGATTTCTTGTCATATGGGTTTTTTTCTAGTAGTACTGTGAAACTCATTTACCTGTGGTGGGATTTGTCTCTCTTAGCCATATTTGTTTTTAGGTATCTGAGCCAGTCATTGTAGCTTCCATTTATGCACAGGAAAGAAAATAATTTTTAGAACATAGTTCTTCTAATCTACTTTGGACGCTTAAATTATAATTAATTACACCTGAGAAGTGCCATCTAGTCGAATGCTGCTTGTAGCGGTGCTTTGTATATTGCCCTTACAGTCTTATTTTAAGTTCAGAGCTGTGCAGAATTTTGGGTTAATGGCTGGTGACAGAATGAGCCAATAATTTTTTCAATTTTTTAAAATTTGAATTAGGATTCCTTTCCTATGATGTCAGTCCAGCATGTTATTGATCGGCTTTACCCCTATCATCTTTTCCTTGGAAAGGAAGGCAGGACTGCTGTCAAAGACATGTTAAAAGTAAGTATTGAACAATATATTTATATTATAATTCTAGGGAGTGATGGATTATGGCAGTAGTTCTCCTGTTTAATGGTATGTCCTGGTTTAGGGCAAAGTTTGTGAGGAAACTTCGGAAGCGGTCTTTTCTAGAAAGCAAATTCAAGTGGCCCTCACCCAAATGGTTCGGGCGGTAAACCATTTTTGAGAAAAGCAGAAAAACTGTTTATTTAACAAGCAAAGTACTCACAAACATGGAAAAGCGAATAATATTAGACAATGGAACCTCTTGCTGTTCTGAAGAGATGGCAAATTCAGAGAGTCCTTGTCATGGGCTGCAGCTCAGCTCGCTCAGTCTCTCATCAGTCCCTCCTGCACTGGGGAATGCTGTGTCCCAGGCCCCGCTTGGCCACAGGCGTGAGCTCCTGGTGTTTTTCTGGATTTTCAGTCCAGGGCAGGGCTGAACTGTTCCAAGAAAACAAAAAAACCCAGGACAGTCCGGGGAACGTCTCTGCCTCAGCTAGCTATAAACTAACTAAAAGCAAAGGAGAGTCCTGTCCCGCTGTCTGTGCTGCCAACAACATGCTGAGAGAGTGAGGAATGGGTGGGAGTGAAAACAAAGCTCCAGCACACACAAACTGTGTGCCAATGCTTCTCCCTCCCTTTGCTCACCGATCTGGTTTTAAAGGTGTAGAACTTATTTCTGGGCTAAACAGATGAATGGGGATACAATTCAGTATCATAAAGTCACCCCAGGATGTGGTACTTCATTACTTCTGTATAAAACCAGAAATCTTAGGTAAATTAAATGGCTACATTATTGCTGATGCTTAATACTTTCATAACAGTATTTAAAAAAAAACCCTCATAAACCAGTTAATTTCATTATAGTGAAAGGTGTAACTTCTAGCATCTTTGGAATATTTAGACCTCAGTTAAAGACTATAGAAAAGTCCTCATTATATAATAAGTGGTTAATTAATTTGAAAGTAGTTACTTGTATGGTTAAGGTAGTCAAATGCTTCAAAAATACCTCTGGCATTTGACATCTTTGAGAAGATTCTAAAAAGACTGTAAATATCATGTGTACAAAATACATTTACTACTGCATGATTATAGATTGTATTCGTCTCTGGATTTGGTCTGTGTTACCTTTTGTTGTTTCTTGTTGGTCAGATCTGTTTTGTCAATTTGTCCATGTTTAATAGTAGCTTACAAAACCTATAATTATGATGGGTTATTTTATTTATCTTTTAAAACTTAAGCTGAGTGTCATCTTTCTTTAACTTTTAATATGTTGTAGCAGTTACATATGTTGGTGAAAATTAGCATTAAAGCATTTTAACCAGCTCTTTCAGTCCTGAAAATGAGCTATTATTTCTATGTTCATATTTAGAAATAACCAACTTTGTAGCTAGCAAATATTTGGTTTCCCTAAAACCAATCTTATGTGATAGGGGAATGTTTGCCTGATATCCCTGCTGATGCGTTCTTTCCCTCTTCTCCCCCTTCCTTTTTGCATTGGAGCTCAGTCCTGTATTCTCTGTGTAACTGGGCTGCTCTGCTACTTGTCTTCCTCAGTTTTGGGATGGATAGTCCTTGCATTTGATTAGAATGTTGTCCTGAATGACTTGCTAGCTTTTCTGAACCGTCACAGCTGACTCCTGTGGGGTTTAACTGGGCTGCTCTGCTACTAAGCCAGTGTGGCCTGAAGTCCAGGACCTGAAGTCATTTGTCACTTGCCTTTAACTGTTGCACAGAACTTCCATCTGAATATGAGGAAGAACTTCTTTACTGTGCAGATAACCCAGTACTGGAACCCTGAGAGGTTGTGGGGTCTCCATCACTGGAGATTTTCAAGAACCATATGGACACAATCAAGTGCCACTGCTCTGGGATGACCCTGCTTGAGCAGGGAGGTTGGAGCAGATTACCCCCTGTGGTCCCTTCCAACCTGACCATTCAGTGGTTCTGTGTCGTGCTTTCCTTCCACCACAGTTTGGGATGGCTGAAGTTGCCTATAAGAACGATCATCTGTGTTTAAATAGACTTTTATCTGTTAGCAGAGGAGTAACAGTCACTTCTAGTTTAATATGCCTTTATTTTAAATACTTGGTCATTTTTGTTTATTCCTTCAGTTACAGATGGTGAATGTCTTTGTGTTCTACACTGTCAGCTTAAATTTCTCTTTCTCTTCTTTAACTTTGTGTTGTGCATGCTTTTGTTTCTTGTATAAGATAGATTGATTTGGCTCATAAAATTTTATTTCTCAGTAATAATCTCCTTTTAAGTACCTCTTTCATAGATTTTTCTGTGTCAATTTTCTTCTTTCTAAAAAAAGTCTTCCTCATCACTACCTTCACGAACTTACTATGTCAACAAATACATATAATCTTATTTGAAATTTTATTCTATTTGCACACCACAAATCTTGTTAGGCAATGAACCTTAAGAAATACAGAAAATAACTGGTTGTATTGAGGAACATCTGTTTATAGTGATGTTATAATAGCAGCTCCAGAGCTGTATAAATTTTAATAAGAGGTTATTTTTTGCATTCTATATAAGAATGGTGAGAGAGTAGAGTCTAGCAGAAGCAAGGCTCCTCTTTTTTATGGGTTTCCTAAAAATGTCCAGGTAATAACTGCTACTGAATACTTCTGTGTAAAAGGAAATGCTAATCTTAACTGGGTGGTAACAAGAATTGAAAAAAACCAAAAAATATGGGAAGTGTGTTGGCATTGATGGATTAATTTGTGTATTCAATCACTTTTTAACCTCAGCTGGCATTTAAAGAAAAAACCCCACATTTCAGATAAAGGAATGTAAAGTTTAGGTGTCACACTCAGAGGCAGATATGGGGATGTAGTAATCTAGGATAATATACCCTAATTTCAGGATATTTTCCCTTCCAGTCAGCTGTTGGAGCTGATAGGTGAGATAGCCTGTGTGATACCAAACAGGTAGTTTTGGCAGCTGTTAGCCGCTGTGCATGTTTCCTGAAGAGATCATATTCTTAAAGCACTGTCTTCCCAAATGTTGTCTTCAGCTTGGAGAAATCCTTTCCTTATGCACCTTGCTTACTGAGGCAACATCAAGATCTAGAAATTACTTGTAATTCTTGTTCTCACTAATGAAATAATGTGACATATTGACTTGTACCTTCTCTGGGAGTGAAGGTAGTTTCTTGGGAGTGTTTGTGGATGAGAAACTTGACATGACTCAGCAATGTGAGCTTTGAACCCAGAAAAGCAGCTGTACTCTGGGCTGCATCAAAAGCAGTTTAGCCAGTCGGCTGAGAGAGAGGATTCTGCCCCTCCATTCCCCTCTGGTGAGATCCCACTGGAATAATGTTGAAAAAAAAAGGATGTCCATCAACCAACTTTTTAATTTGATACTAATGTAACTCCTTGTTTCAAACTAGTTAGCATAAAAAAATGCATTTAAGGATTGTGCACAATCCAGCATCAGCAGTGGTCTTTAGAGGTGCTTAACATACAAAAGCATTTGTACAAGTGCAACAGTTTGCAGCATTCATTAGTTCACTAGCTTGCAACAGTCAGGACAAAAGTACCAAAATAAACTTGCTGATGATGTGGCTTTGTTTACCCTTATTTGAAGTTTCTGCACTTTGTCAATTTCTGCAACTGTGTCAATTTGTATTCTTATTGTTAAAGATTATTCTTAACTCAGAAGATCTGAGTTAAAGGAAAATATGAGTTGGTTGGAATTTTGGTCTTCAAAATTATTCTGTACTTTCATGAAATACTGGCATGAGAAATTATTTCGACTGACAGATGATTATTTGAAATACAATGGTAAAAATTAAGTTAAAAAGTATTTATGTTTTTTCTCTGCAAGACTGAGATATGGAGAGATCACTGTTTTCAAGGAAAACAGCTTCCAGTTAAACATTGTCAAACAATAAGCCTGAGCAGGTTTCCCACAGCACTGGAGTTTTCTTTTCCGTATGCACCTGAGAGGCTTTTGTAAAACTGATTGGCTAAGCATTTAGGCTAAGCATGGTGGGGAATAAGAAGCTCCACATTTTCTGTACTTATTTCTTCATTGAGCCATAAACTTCTAGTATTTTACTCGAGATTTATCTAATGTTTTGGGTTTACTCTTTTAATTCTCACATGCCTTTTGTGCGCCTTTTTTCACAGTGTTGGAAACACCCCCTGTTTGGTTTTATTACCTTCTAATCAGGAGAATCTTTCCATGAGATTTTAGAAAAATGCAGACACAACAGATTTGTCTTAATAAATGAGCAAGTCACTTTAAGCCTATATCCTTTTTTAGCTTCACTCTAAATCCCTAGAGTTTTTCTTCATTTTTTCATGCTTTGATTAATTCTGTGTTTACTGTCTTGATCTTATATCAAATAAAAGTTTTTTTGTTGCCTTGACTCATTTTTGTATTATTTGCACACCCATTTTAATCTTACCTGACCTCCTCAATGAAAACTGTTTCCATACCTCACAGTACATAGGAATGCTTGTAAGACTGGAATTCTATTTAATGTCTAGACAAGAAAGAATTCTTCAGAATTCTTTTCTCTTCTAAGATATTTCTGTTGCAAATTTTATTCTAAGGAAGGATTTGTTTCTCTCTTACTCCTTCCAAAGTATTTTATAATTTCTGGGGTTTTGCATTAATAGATGCTCTTAGTGCCAATACATACCATTGTAGTGGAATCTGTCAGACTTCATATATCAATCCATCCCATCTTGCATTTGCAGTTCCTATTGTGCTCCTTGTGAAGCAGTTCAGTCCTCTGGTTCTTTGGAAAATTCTCTTTCCTTCCCATACAGAGAATCTTCCAGCCTTTGCATGCCTCTTTTGAATAGCCTAGCTGCCTTGTGGGTTCAGCTGAGTGGTCATCTGCAGCTCTGGCTCATGTTAGCTCTCTGATCCTTTGACCAGCTGGATTACTGGTGTATTCTTTGCATTTTCCATTTTGAGATATTGCCGATTGTTCAATGCTTCCAAGTGGTCAGAATTCCCCTTCCTTTTTTCCCTAACTTTTACAGTTTGCCTTTTCTCAAATGTTCTTAGGCATGCAGAATGTGCCTGATGATTATGAGCTGCCAAACCACTTCTCTGGTTTTTGGTGACTGGTCTATTCTTTTTGCTTTCCTCTGAGTCAGTGAGGCTGCCTGCTTCTGGCTTTCCAAGTATCTCTTACACTTTCTGATACTGAATGTGCTCGGTAGTTGTTCTCTCAAACCACAAATATTTTTTTCCTTTGCAGCTATCAGCTCAAAAATTTTATAGAGGAAGTTGTTTCTGGCTCAGCAGAAGTGTTTAATGTGTTGTACATCCATTTTATGCCACTCTGATTCCATTTCTACCTATCGTAATTCTCCCTATCAAAATGAAGAACTGAGTCAAAGAAACCTGTCTTGGTCTGAAAGCCACAGGCGGTTTGTTTGCTGCTCCTGTTCAGGTGTAACTGTGGTTTTTACTAGAGGTGTGAGGTTGTTTAATTACTAGAGTATTCAGTTCAGCAACATCTATGTAATTACGTGTGATAAATTCAAATTAGCTTAGATGGTTTTTGTAAATTGTGTAGATTGTGTAAATTCAGTAACAATTTGCACATAGACATTCCTCTTTCACTGTCCTGACTTAATGTCTAAAATGTTACAGAACCCTCAACAACAACAAAGAACAACAAAGAAGATCCCACCAAAACAAAAAAAACCCCAACCAATCAAAAAAACACCTTAGAAATTTTAAACTCCTAAGACCTTTGTGTGCAAGTCCTGTTGTTGCTGTCTCTAATTCCTTGTAACCCAGTATCCAGTGTCTGCTGGTGCAGATAATCCTGCTCACTCACAGTTATTTTCTCTTGTTGGTAAAGGATTTAGTGTACAAGCAGTTGGCAATTTTGTATATAAGCACCCTTGACTCTATCCAAAATACCATTAAATTAATAAGAATATTGCAATTTATTAATGAAGATAAGAGTGAGAACATTTGGTAGTTGCTTTCACAGAATCATAGTTGGAGTGTTTCTTAGAATCATACTTGGAGATAGTACTCAGTAGGCATTCCTGTCCTCTCTTTTTTGTCTGAGAATTTAATGGCATCTGAAGTAGACTCACTGTTACAATAAGAATATAATTTGGCGCAGCCCTTTACTAAAGCACATTTATCTTAAATACATGTTTAAACATAGTGTTTTTGTAAGCTTTTGTTCCAGAATGGAATTTACAAAGTGATGAAGAGAAAAAGCTTTTGTAAAAATCTATCTCCGTTTTGTTTTTGAACTTTAATAGGCAGTGCCATGAATCCTAGTAGTAATAGTACTATATGCCTTTTAAGAGTGATTTTATGTTAATGAATTCTGTTTAAAAAACTCTGTTTTCTAAGAATTCTAATAAGCTGTACTCCTTTTTCTTTTGTTTACTCAACTTGCACTCTGTTGAATAAAATGGCTCTATGAATTCAGTAGTTCCAGCTATTAGCTTTTTTTTGTGCATGAAGGCCTCAATATTACTCTCCTTACTGAAGATTTTTAAATGGTTTTCATGCTTTCTATGTACAGCAAAAACAATATAATGCTTGAAAGAAGATTAAGAAAACATACGTCCTGTTTTGTCCTTGATATACCCAGAACATGCTGAAGGCTTAATTTGTACAGGTTGTCCTCAATTTTCATTGTATGAGGCAGCTATGAAGCTAAGTAAATGCAATGTTTGCTGGTTGTTTTTATTGGTAGTCAGATGTTTAAATTTACAATTGGTTATAATGAGCTGAAGAGATAGGTGATTTATTATTACACATGCTAAAGGCTATGGTTCATTTCTTGTTTTATTTTAGACTGTCAGGCCAAGACTTGGCAAAGTTACTGTGTGTCATTTTCCATTTATATCTGTCACTACAGTCTGAATAAGTATACAATCTCTCTGCTTTGGTTTTAAATGTAAAATATATAGGTCGTCAAGAATGTGAATACAGGTATCTGCAGTAAAAGTTGAAGTGAATGGATTTAGGACTTTGTAAACAATTAATTATGAATATGCTTCTGGCATTATTTTAGAAGGAACAGTTCTAAAAACCAGAAAGCTGTATTTAATAATTTATTTCCTCACCCCTGAATTTTACAGCGCTTTGAGCTTCAAGATTCAGAAAAACAATTGTTTCCCAGGAAGATTACTAGAGTAGAAAGTGTATATGGAAACAAACCCTTTAAGGCTGATGTAACTGTCCAAATTGGCGAAAAAGAAGTGACATTCCAGGTATGAATTTATGTATTCATCTAACTATAATATGTTTTTAAAAAACACTAACTTGTTTTCATCTCTTGAAGAATTTGACACACTTGGTAGTAAAAGTCATTTGTGCTGAATTTTTTTTTCTTTTTGTAGAATAACACATGGTATTTATTGGAGACGCATTTAGATACTGGAATATTAGTTTATGTATGCACATGATTTTATTTCTAGATAAAGTCATAATTTCCTCCATGTGAATCATTACAGTTTGGATGAAAGAAAAAGCCATTCCATTTTTTTGTTTGTTTGTTTGTTTGTTTTTGTTTTATTGGATTAGAATAGCAGAGAGTACTTACGATGCTCTTAATGCTGCTTTCCCTTTTTCTTTTTGTAAAAACAATAGTCTGTCTTTGTTTACACTTCAAATAAAGTCTAATGAGTGCTTGGTAATGTTCCGACACAGGATGCTGGGAAAATGGAACAAAGTAATCACATCAAATATGATTAGTTTGAGTTTCTTCCAATAAAGTTTATGACCTGCTAGGTGGTGAAATAAGTTCTTACTCAGGAAACAGATGCTGATCTGAGAATTTGAAGTTAATGTTGAATTTGGAGAGTCTAGAGAGTCTGTAAAGAAGGTGAATTAGTGGGAGTCAGAGAGATTATAACAACATTGGTGAGGAATACCACAAGAGAGTTTGTACCATGACAAAGTGAAGAGGGGAATAACAACAAATGGGAATTTTTCAGGAAGAGTTGAGTCTGTAGGAACTTGATTAATTTTTTTTCTGAAGCAAATATTTTTGTTTTCATTTTACGTATAGGTGATATGTTCTGAAAGTACTTCTGGCCTCTCTTATGCTCTCTGAACAGGAGGGCATAAGAAGTTTACAGGTGAAACAGTTTCCAGACTGGAGCAAGAGCCTTAACGTGGTGAACAATTTTAATCTCTCCAAAGTTCAAGTCAAAGTAGTTCCTTCAGATTTTCACAATACTAATTGCTCTATCTCTTCCATGTTTCTCTGATGAGCAGTGAATATTGGTGAATTTTTATATGTCTCTTTCATGAACAGCCTGAAGTTCTTTGCTTACCCCAATGCTGTAATTGTACTGATTCACATTTTGTTAATTTTTTTCATGAAAAGTGGGTGAAGGAGTTTGTCTATTAGAAATTATGGGATTTAGTTTTGTGACAGTGACAGTTCAAGTTTGATGGATGACAATTATCAGTGAAATATTGCAGTAGTTTTGGACAAGCATAACCTAGTTCACACAAAGCTTAGTGTTATCACAGTATAGCTTATTTAGCATTTTGATTTACTTTTTTTCTCTTATAGGTTCCAGCTGGAACTGGAATGTTAAAAAATCATTCTCGATCAGATACTTTCATAAGGACTTCCAGCCATAATCAACTGTTGGCAGAAATGATGCAATCCCATATGGTTAAAGATATGTGTTTAATTGGAGGAAAAGTAAGAATTTAAATTTCTATTCTCTGTTCTTCCCCATGATCTTTAGAATGTAATCTAATTAATATTTTTTAACTTTTTAGGGCTGTGGCAAAACAGTTATTGCCAAGGAGTTTGCTGATATACTGGGATACAGCATAGAACCTATCATGCTATACCAAGTAAGGAAACTATCTGCTGATGATTATGCTTTAAATAAGGTCTTAAATAGAGACTTTCTCACAGCACTCAAGGTGTTCGGTGTTTTTGCAAGCCCCAAGCCCTGTCAAGCTTAAGAGCAATGTCATAGCCAGTGGTCACTCGGTACTTGTTTGGAAAGAATTGTCTATCTTAGGTTGTCTTAACTTTATGGCATAAGCGGAAAAACTACAAGATTTAAAAGTAGAATTAATTAATTTGCTTACTTTTCACACAGAGATCACATGTGTAAGGTTGTCTCCATACCCTGAGGAATGAAAGTGCTTAAATAAAATAGGGTCTCAAGGGTCTCCTATGACCTTAGAAGTCAAAATACATCAAATAGAACAGGATATACAGTTCTAAGTGATAACTGGCAATGCTGCAGGAAAACATTAGCATCAGGTTTAATACAATATACTGGTCTCTTTCTTCGATCCCTTTTCTGCTTTAATTTTTTCCCAGACAGCATGGAGACCTCCAAAGCAAAAAATAGCAGTGGCATCTGATTTAAAAGTGTACTGGCATGTGGGGAGAACCACAGACAGAGATGGGTGGTGAGGCTGAAGGGTTGGAAAAGTGAGAGCAAAATAGAAAAGAGAAATACTGATGATGATGATGGTGATGATGATGATAAAAAAGACAGTTCTCCTGCACTGCTGAGAGCCTCCCCAGACAGGATCCCACTGCTTTTCCTTTCCTCCCTGTGTGGCTTCAGCTGATAAGGGTGAAGACTTTGAAACTCTCTGCATAACTGGAGTCAGATGGATGACTTCTGCCCTTTTCTTATGCTTTAACGTGGCCGAGTGTGAGCAGATTAGGGTTGCAGGGTGACATATCCTCATCAGTGTTATGCCATGTTCATAATAATATACCTGGATTCCCAGCAGTGCCTACTATCTTTTGTCTAGTGGCCTGTTGAAATGGATATATAGTTTCTGAGCTAGACCTCTGTGTCCAGCTACTCTGCGTACTTCTCTCTGTACTTGTCACTGTAAACACAGTTTAAAATCATCCCAGAAAAATAACTTCTGCAACTTGACACACCTGCTTAAGGGCAAGCACACTCTAACCCTTGTATTGTTGCACATGATACAATATTTGGTATTCACCAGCAAAATTAGATAATTATTTGCTTAAAAACATGGCCACTGTTTCTCAACTTCCTACCTTTAATTAGTATGGCTTCAATGAATATGAGCAGGAGGTTTCATTTTTGGAGTCACATGAGCAGAGCTGACAATGGAACTATTTATTTAATAAACATCTTTCTTTGAAAGGGATCTGTAATTCCTATAAAAATAAAATGTAGGAAAGGATTTAAGGTATTTCTCACTAAAGGGAATATTTCCTTTGGTTTCACCAGGGTTTAATCAAGCTCAGAGGGCAAAGGGGTTTTATAGAAAGGCTTTTGGTGATATCAAAACAGTATCAATAAAGCAAATAAATGACTCAGAGCTGCTTGTTCACTGTAAATTCCTGTTTAGCCAAGCCTAGGTAAGATTCACATATGTATCTGTACATATAAATGTTTCCTAATGTACGATGTGTTACATAAACTCAAAAGTTTTTACAAAAAGCAGCGTATAAAAATACATTAATGTAGCTGAGCTGTAAATAGAATTTCAGAATGCATTTGTTATATAAAAATATATAACCTATCAGGGGCTTTGCTTAGCAAAGTAATAGGATAATTTAATGATGGAACAAATATTAAATTCATACACCAATTCAGCAGTGAAGACTATGAAAGTCTGATAATACTGTACATTTAGAATATTTTTCTACTTTCATTCAAAAAAGTGTCTTCTTGGTTGTTTTTTTTTTTTTTTTCAGAGAGACATCATCCTGTCCTGAATCCATTTCTAAAATTAAGGAGGCTTTTCTTTGTCTGTAGTTGTTATTTACTTCATGATAATTTTTGCAGGCATAAAGATGAGTAGAGAGACTTTTACCTTTGGTCTGAAACAGTAGCACTGTTTCTGCTCAGGCTGACTGAAGAAATTCTTGGATTTTTTAATATATGTGTGTATATATATATATGTATATATGTGCGTATATATATAGTCTTTACTTTTAGTATTTGCTTCGTCATTCTTTGCAACTGAAGTTGATTGAAGGACCTGAATAGTGTGAAAAGGTGTATTTCTCTATATTGATTTCACAGAAAAAATAACTCTAAAAGTTTTTGTGTTGTGAAGTGAGAATTAAATTTACCTAAAGCAAACTTTTCTGAACACAGATCATCTCTTATACTAACAGTTGGCTGAGAAAGCAGTTCCTGTCTCATTTGTGATATCTGATATCATTATATGGATTTCTCATTATATGTAGTTCCATGTCGGTAGATTGCTGATAAAGGAAACTCATCCTGATTAGGAAAGGTTTGTTTTTAAGTTGTCTCTTAATACAGTTAAGCAACAGCAAATGAGAAGCAGTAGCCAGCTAGTGCTTTGTGGACTGTAACTAGGGAACTTTTAGTCCAAATGCTTAAAATAAAATGTTTTCTCTCCCCAGAATTTCAGAGGGGAAAAAAAGTAACAGTTGAAGTCATGTCATAACAGTTTTCCAGCAACTTGCTCCTTTTCTTCCCTAGCAAAAACAGTTTTGTAAGCACATCACTAGTGTTTGTGTACTGTGATGTTTTTGTTTCTAGGACTTTTTTTTTTGCCTGACCTCATAATTTTTCTTCACCAAATCCTTCCAGTTTTTTGTTTGAGAAATACTAACAAATGATGAATCCAAATATGCATAAAAAGCAGGAAACATAGTTTCTTCACCTCATAATTGCCAAGAACATGATTAGTACTACAAGCCATGAAAAATGACTAGATTGGAGGTTTGTGTTTGTATTAGCTGCTAGAGGGAGTGCAAAACACGTTGTCCTACTTAGTTTTTCTCCTAAACATATTTTTCCTGTATACAAACTGCTCTAGAAAATAAACAATAAAATGTAAAACACATAAGTTATAATGACTGCTACAAATTAAAATAAGCTTTTTGGTTCACAAGGCAATATATTGTTGCCATTGCTTTGTCCAAAATAAGAGGAATAATTAATTCTTACACTTCAGTAACCTCCCCTCCAATGGGAGGCCTTTTTAGCATTAGAGTATTATAAGATTAGTTTTAATATCATATATTTAGTGATTTGAATAAAACTTACTAAAAACTGAATTAGAGTAAATAAGTAAAGACAATAAATCACTGGGCAGGTACTTATCTGTAAAATAAGTTCCTTACAAAAACTGTGCGGGTGTTAGCAATGGTATTCCTTTTTAATCATCCCTTAATTGAATCTCATTCAACCATTTAAATCACAACATTATATTAATGTTATATTTCAGAAAATATTCACAGATATACACACAATACTCTTCTGAGTTTATCTGCAGAGAATTAATGCATGGTTCTCATTGTTGGAATTAGAGATGGACATACTGTACAGCATACCAGGCTCCCAGTCAATTCATACTTACATGTTGTTTCATTTCTCTAGAGGTGAACTATCCAAACGTGTGTCAGTTAAATATTCATTACAGCATTTACTAGCTGCTGAATGCACAGTTCTTAAGCAAGTCCTAAGCCCACATTTTTCTCTCTTTTATAAAAATGTTTAGTGTCGAATTCATTAATCATACAGAAAAGAGTGAACACAGCAGTAAAACAATAGAAATATAACAATAAAAATACGGTATGGTTTTGTGGATTTGAATGTGAGACTTTAAATTCTATAAAAGTGGAAGCACTGAAGGAACCAGACTTTGTCCTGTTATTTTAGGGCTTTTGAGGAAATGTAGAAAAAGGAAATTATTCAGGCCGTATGACGTAATGTATTCTATTTTTATTCTTTAAAGTTCAAAGGGTTTATGGTTGTGAAAAAGACATATGTAAAAGCTACAATTACAGCAGAAAATACATTTTTATCTGATTTTGGGTTGTGTTCACAGCACAGCCTCAGGAAGGAATTAGGTCTTCCAGGTCACAAAATTACTGTTATGTCTTTGTTTCTCTCATGCTTACCTGTTGTAGTCGAACATCTAAAATATGTGTGCTGGAGGATATGCTAGATTTTGTCTTTGGTTTTATTCCTTGAATGTTATTTAGTGCTAGGCTATGTATTTTTGATAAATTCTATGTTACGGGCTTCTTTCTTACCCCGTTCATTATTCTCTGATGCTTGCAGCAGTATTTTCCTCCTGAGAGGTGGAATGTCATGCTGGTTTGTATTCAAGATGAATGATAAAATCTTAGCTCCTTCAGGTGGCTTCCATATAAAAGAAATTATTCTTGTTTGCTCCAGGTGTAAATTGCTGCCCCCTTCTGTGCACAGGGCTGTGTACAAGTTGTCATACTCTTGTGTTTTGTTAAAGAGGCAGGGGGTAGAAAGGCTTTTGTTCTTGTTTCAAAGAGATGATATTGGAAAGTCTAGAACCTCCAAAGACTATTTAGCATTTTGTGAGTAGCTTTGTGTGTGTATTGCTAATTCTCTTTGGAAAAGTAGTTGAAGAATGCAGTTTTTCAAGGAGAAAGTGTGTACTTGTAAATTAAGAGAATAGATCATAATTATATTCTTCTGATGGACTGATACTTCCAGGATATGACAGCTAGAGATTTGCTACAGCAAAGGTACACTCTTCCAAATGGAGACACTGCTTGGAGACCATCACCTCTTGTCACTGCAGCTCTGGAAGGAAAGCTTGTTCTTCTTGACGGCATTCATCGAATTAACCCTGGCACTCTAGCTGTGCTCCAAAGGTTAGGATGGGAGCTTGGATAAGTTGGGCGCACGTGATGTGTGTACTGAGTGCATGCATAGTGAGACCTAAGTTTCTGCTGGTGAATATGGCTTTAGAACTTCAGGAATACTGTAAAGATCAAGCTGAGCATTGCAGTTTCATAGACTATGTAGTGCTCATTTTTTTACTTAAGAGCAGAAGCTATTCTTTAATTTTTTTGTAAGCCTAAAATAATGCAGGAAATTCCAGCCTGTTGTAAATACAGAGTGTAAGTCTGAATTTTGGAATGAGTTAGATTTTATTCTAGAATTATGAAATCTAAAAATCAGTGATACTTATGCAACAATTTTAAAATGCAAGATGTCAGAAAATGTTTGAAACATTTTGAGTGTATTCTGCTTCTAAACAAGTATGTTATATTATATTTTACGCAGCATACTTTATATTGATTGCAAAGATCTCTTTCTAAAGATTATTTCATAATTCAATAAAAAAATAAATTATACTTTGCAGAACACAGTAATAGTAAATACTGTGTTAATAGTTATTTATACTGTTTGGTCAAATTTTTATGCCATTTCATATGCATGCATCGTATACTGCCTTTTGCAAATCAGGGGACATAGTGAGCTTTAAAAGCAGGTTGTAGCAAAAGCATTTTCTTCTTTCTCTTATTTTATATATATATATATATATGCAGAAGGACAGAACAGGGATTTATACGTGCCTGTGTTTTTGCCTTTTCATCTATTTAGTGTTCATTTCTGATTTTTAGTTCTGACATGTGCATACATTATAGCTAATCAACTTCTGCATATCACAAATTAAAGCCTGGGTCTGTATGTATATTAATCATTAAAGCCAGCTGAAAGATAGCATTTCAAGAAACAAAAGTATATTACTTGGTACAAGAATAACAAAAAACCGGTTTCATGCCATTTATGCACACTCCACTGGTAAGACAGATAATTTCATTTTTCATGTTCTTACCATATGGATTTAAACTAAGTTGATTGACTATGTGCTAAAACATATGTGTGGTATTTTACCTCCATGCCTGGATGCATCTTGAGTTGGTATAATTTTTTCTTTTTGCTGAGGTGTATTTTAACTGAGATAGCTTTTAAAAACACCGTTAGTTGTTACATGTATTATAAAAATTTATCAAAGTCAAGCTAGAGCTTATTCTTTATTTTCAGACTAATACATGACAGAGAACTGACTCTCTATGATGGCACCAGATTATTAAGGGAAGATAGATACCAAAATCTAAAAGAAGAATTGCAGCTCTCTGATGAGAAACTACAGGAGAGGTAAAGTATCAGCTACGACTATAGAATGCAAACAACTTTTCTGTTTTATAGCTGGTTGTCTAATAAAAAAAATGCAAAATGCTTTTCTGTTAAACTGGTTCCTTCTAATTGCTAAGAGAAACATCTTATTAAACATAAGGTTCCTCCTTAGCTCTATTTCTTTTCATCGTATGGCAAAATTATATCCTGTTTAGAGTGCTTGAACTAAAAGGAAAACATTCAATAACCTTTAAGAGAAGGAGTTAGAAAAGAAATTCTAAGTAGGTACAAAAATAGATATAAAGCTATATAGTACTTAATTTTGGAATATTTTATTAAAAGTCTTGGAAAATAAAGCTAAGTTGAAGTTAAATACTACTTGTTACTTTCTTTTGCCTCATGAGCTAGAAAGCTGGTATTTAATTTACAATTAATATGGGGCAGGAAATCCTAAGGATGGGTTGGGACCCATTATGCTTATTCTTTTTGTTCCTTTACTTCCACTTGTCTGCTAGAAACATTCCACAGATAAAATGTTATGCTGCAGGGTGTGTGTGTCCAAACTTTAAAGAGGCCTGATGGGTTTATAGCACAGGTGCATTCATAATATGCCACACATTTTCTCTCAGTTGTCTTGCTGAATATGATTTTTTTTCTTTGGCCTCCATAGTCCACCCTTTAGAAAAGCTGCTTTTCTTTTACTTCCTAGTTGTTTCCATAGTTCTGGTTCCAAAATACAGTGAGTTTAAAAAAAATAAGGCAAGAACTGCTCCTACAAAACCAGCAAAAAATTCAAACTTCATTCTAAGCCTACTTGTTGCAAATTCTGTCCAGTCTGCAGAGGCCATACACCTAGCTAGATGGTCATTTCCTGCATTTGTTTTATTTGTGTGAAGAACTATATATCAGGGAAGTATTCTGTTTATCTGGATTTTAAGCATGGACTTTGAAAAGAGCAGCAAAAACGCTCCAAGGGCCCATCTGGGATGGTATTCCTCCTTTGCATCAGACTTTTTACTACAAAATATATCTGTTGTGCCAGTCTCCTCCCTGCTCTGTGTTCATGGTCTTGTCCAACGTGCTTTCAGGCAGAATGGTAGTGGCTGTGCTGTTTTGCCTAGTACCCTTTAGTTCATTGCCAATGTACTCCAAAAACCTGGATGGTTCATCATACGTTCATCTTCAGAGCTGCCACTCCTAGTGGAGTAAATCTCTCTCACAAGAATAGAGATTTACATCTGGATCCTGCACATCCTTTTTTGTTCTAACATTGACTGTTTTGGCAGTGGGCTCTGTTTAATCTTCATTATCTGTTAGACCATGAGCACTGTCCAAGCCTTCTTCTTTAATGATTGTTCTGCAGACCCTTCTCCTTTGTGTTGCCTGTGTATCTGCTTTCTTTCTTTTCAGCTTCATTGAGTAAACCTTTTCGTTCAGCTGTTCAGTGGCAATTGTGCGTTGTTTTGGCTACTTTGAAGGCTCCAAAAGTTGGGGTTTTTTTGCTTTCCTTGACAGGCTGTCTCTCTTTCCTTCAGATCTCACTGTACTGCTTTTATCTAACCACCTCAGTATTTTGAAATATAATGTTTCTGAGTTGCTATGCTCTTAATTATCTGACTGACAGTGAGCTTTCACTCTAATCCATAACCAAAGGGTGTCTGTTGTACAAGAATGCATTTCTGATTAGTACTTGGTCTTAGAAACCAGCAGATACCCTATTGTGTAGGCATTCTTATATGTGGAAGCTCAGTGTGACCATTTAGCACCATCTTGGATGCTGATGGAAATTCTTGCTCCTCAATTATCTGAAGTCCATTTTGCTGAGAATCCTCACCTCCTGGGTGAAATGTTCAGTCTGCCCTTGTTTTCTGTAATGACTTATTTTAAAAAAGCTAGGTTAAAGTAATGCAAACATGTATCTGCTTCTTTGGTTTTGGCTTTGGGCTTCTTTGACGTCAGTGGATGACTTCTCTATAGAGAGAGTACTGTTCTCATCAGCCCTTAAGAAAATGAAGGTGTTCCAGGACCTCATCCTGATTTTGGTGACTTCCATATTCTGAAAACATCTTCCTTTTAACTGACTCCAGGATGCAATGTCAATAATTGCTGTTTCATTCCAGCACTGTATTTGTCGTTGCTACTCAGCCTTTTCAACAGTAGTTATCAGTCACTGCAAACTTCAGTACCTTCCAGTGTTGCAGAATCCAGCAGGATTAATCTATCAAATCATACCTGAGGTACTGACAGCTGATTTAATCACAGATTTTAATCCCAACAGTGCTCACCATCCCTCCTTTGCCTGCAATATACAGTTTTTAGAGAAGCTACACGGAGTATGTTGTAATATGAATTTATTAGCAGATTGGTTGGGCAAATTCTTACCCAAATCACAGCTGGGAGATGCTCTCCATGTTGTTGAGAGACATCTCTCTTGCTGCATGCCAATGACTGTGACTAGTGCCCTTAGCTGGATTTCTGAAGATAAAAGACAGCTTTACTTACCCTGATTTGCTGGATTGGACTAAAGTAATTTTAGTGTGACTGCTTTTTGCCAGGCCTGTGGAATACATGATGTCATTCTCGGTTTTGTTGGGGCTGAATCTGTAATGTTTGAGTGACACATTGTCTACCTAATTTTCCAATAAGGGAATATTAATATCCTGCAGTTTTAGTGGCTTTAATTTTTAGTGCTTCAAAAGTCAAAATACCCATATGTATAGTAGAAGAGAAAGAAGAAGAGAATCAAGAGGTTTGCTTGTGTTTTTTTATTAAAGGGATGGTGTTTCAGATTACACTGTGATCTAGAGAAATCACATGCCTCTGTGTACAAATGTAAACAGTATTACAGTAGAGAATGTCAATGTGCTTAAACCACGATAGTGTTATTAGAGGTGCTGGACAAAGAGGAAAGTATGGTTTGGTTTCCTGATTGTTTTCAGGTTTTGCAGATTAGAGCACTATTATTCATAAGTTATATATTTGACAACATTTCAAAGTTTTATTAGTTTTGTAAGAGCTAATAAAGTATATTTTGATTTTAAATGAGGTTCATTATTGTCATTGAGTAATATGTTCACTATTATTTGATTACATTTCTACATCTGTAGAAAAATTTGCATTTTTCTGAGAAGGACTTCAGGCTGGTGGGTAAAAAAGCTCTTTCAGGAGTGACAAGTGCAAGCAGTTTATTGCCCTTGGGATATTTTGGGATACTCCTTGCCCTACTGAAAGCCTCTAAGCTGCAAAGTAACTAGTGGTGGCCACAGAGTCTTTTTTTCTATATTCTTTATTATGCCAGTTTGGCTGTGAAGTTAAGTTAGCAAATGGTTGCAGAACTCATTCGCTCTTCTGAGGAAACTAAGATTTCATGTTCATGAGTTTAAGGAGAAGAAAAAAAGCTGCCCTTGAGAAAGTGACAGATGGTCCTTAAGGATATTTTACATAAAAGGAAATTATAGCTGCTGATATCTTATTCATTTAATGATTGCATGATTCATTTCCCTGAACAAGTTCAGAGAGTAAAAGAAAGTGTGCCCAAGTAGTGTGCATATCCAAGATTTCTGCAAATAATTTCTTCTGTAATCATCCATTACTTCACTGAGATAGATATTGTAAAGGTAGCACACAGCCTTTACAAATCCAGCAGTGAAGGGTTTGTTTGTCTCAGGATGCAGTATATAACCTATTTGTGTGGCTATACCCCCTCAGCACACACAGATGCTAAGTTCTTGGTGTGGTGAGCAGAAAGGCAGCTATTATAGGAAAATCTAGGAGTAGATACATAATAGGATAGTTCAAAAACTAAAAGAAGTCTCTCATAATGGATGAGTGGTTTTAATGCCTTGCAGACAGTGGATTCTTTTCTGTGTGGTTAGGTTGAAAGGGGATGCACAGTAGATGAGACAAATGTGTGTAATTGTGGCAGGGAGTAAATTTAACAAGCAATAGAATTTTTTAATTGCTTACATTCTTTAGCTTTTACTTCATTTGTTGTTTAGGGGTTTGGCTTTTTTCCAGTTTAGTGAATTTTAAGATAAAGGCATCTGTTAATGTTAGACTGTTGTGAAATTTAGAAGAAGCAGCAAGAAAATAACAATAGGTCACTTTGGTTCTAGGGTTGGAATAATTCCCAACTTACAAAATTTGATAGAAAAAGAGATTTATTAAATAACGCTACAGGAAGATATAATCAAAAATAGTTTGGTCTTACAAAAAGTGGCATTAGAAATGCCTTCTGCATTTTATTTTATTCTGTCTTTTATGAGAAGCTTCAATTGCTCAGAACCATGGTCAATAACAAGAAAATCTTTCCCTAAAATCACCCTGATCAGTGTGTGTGATTTTCTTTGTAAGTGCAATGGTGGTAATCCTTGGCTGAAAAATTAAACATTGATGTCAAAAGAAGGACACTCATTTTATTAGAAGACTGCCTTGCTGCCTGTATTGTCAGTAAATGTTTAATAGAGAGAAGGACAGAGTCTGCATGAATCAGTTAACATCAAATCTTCCCACCATGTTTGATGCTCATTAATTTAAAAGATGCCAAGTTTTTAACAAGATACACTTACTTTGTCTTCATCTGTAAAACCCACAAGATTTCTTGTCATGTCAAAGATTTCTTTTCTGTGATGTACAGCTCCATGTAGGAGCTCTCCATATTGTGTTCTTTTTGAGACTTGATCTGTAATATGATGGAACAACTTTGAAGCTCTTCAGTTGTGCTGATGGAAAATGGGAACTTATAGAGCACTGCAGAACTGAGATATTCATGATGTTTTTTTAATACACTTAGACTGATATTTTCAGCATTGCAAACATCACTCCAAACAATAGGCTTTTGAAATTGCCAAATAGTTTTTTTTGTGTTTACAACCTGGAAACCTACAGCAGTGAGGTTGTCCAAGTCTAGAGAGTACATCAGTGAATTGAACTGATATCACCAAATTAGCTTGCCCTGACTTTGCATCCCCTCTCCTCCTACTTCTTTCCGTGCCCTCCCTGGCTGTCCCCACCAAGCCCTTGGAGGGCAGTGACTAGGAGATGATACAAAAGAAATATGATTCCTGCACCTGAAAAGTTGATTCTTGTGTTCTCTTATGGTGTTGCAGAAGGGCTAGAATTAGATGGATGTCTGGAGGAGGGTTGCTTTTTTTCTTAGTAATGTTAGGGAAGGAAAGTCTGAAAGTATATGTACTTATCTAGGAAGTGTTTTCTTCTATAATAAAGCTGGCTAATGTTCCCTGACCTTCTTTTATGCTTAGTGACAGTGACATTCCATTGGTTCCTCTTTCATGTGATGTTTTTGTACATCTATTTCTATTTTTATCACTCAGGGAGTAGCTTCTAGGCTTATGACTTTCAGCTGAGAAAAACCCATACCACCGCCTTTGTTTGCTTTGCTACAAGAAACTGCTGTAATTGCCCTGTTTTATCACAGGTTTATTGTTGTGATGTACAGATGAGCCAACTATGCAGTAGGTTTGTCAATTTATGTCTTCAGTAATTTGTATGGAAAATGGTAACAGCAATATAAACTGCCTAATCAAATTTCACTTGTGTTTTCCAAATGAACATCCTCTATTTTAATAAGAGTACTGTAAAATTAGTTGGTGGAAACAGGCCCATCTTGCACAAAATTTGTCTGGTTTTTGTATCTGATGTGTTACTGCATTGTTTCTGCTGCTTCTGGAGATCATCTCCATTGGTCAAAGCATAGTGCTAATAACACCAAGGTCACAAGTCTGATCTCTGTATGGGTCATTCACTTAAGAGCTGGACTTGATGATCCTTCTGGGTTGCTTTCAGCTCAGGCTATTCAGTGATTCTGTGTGATGCTGTGATCTTGCAGGTGTGCTGATTAATAAGTACCAATGAGTGCCCAGTCAGAGGAGGTAAAAATACTACAGAGATAAGGGATATAAAAAACGTGAAGACAGCAAAGATAACAAAATCCAAGGCAGCAGTCTTTTAGTGCCCTAACATACACATCTAAAAGTTGTATATTTAAGCTTGTGTTGCAAGTTCCCATTATCTTCAGTGGAATCAAGACTGTTAAGTTACCAAATCCTCAAGTGGGAACTGGGAAACACTGACTTAGGCTAGGAGGTCAGTCCCATAAAGATTTAAAAAACAATAATAATAAAAGTACCTTTTACAGCTGGGAACAGTACGTGTTTTTTCACAGGAAGCTGTGGAGGCAGATAGGATGAAGAAGGGAAGTTCAGAATAGTATTAGAAAAAAATTTTGGGCAAAGAGAAATTAAAGCAAATAAAGTCCTATCCTATGATGCCCTTGATGGTTGAGGGGTGCTGAAAGAATATGAGAGGGGCAGACTGCTGGTTGTGGCTAGACTTTTGTGCTTGGTTGATTTAAGGAGCCAGGACAGCAATTCAAGTTCTTGTAAATCTTAATCTTCCACTGGAGCGACCTGTCTCCTCATGCTGACTCTAAAATGAGCCAGGGGTGAAGTGACTGGTTTGGTCTTTGAAGCATAACTTTCAGGAGTGTTATGAAGTTAGACATATTAATCCAAGGACCACAAAGAGTATCTGCAAGGGAATGTTTCTAAACTGTTACTAAATTCAGCTCTTCACAGTATCTAGGCAAATCTCTACAGTGTCATCCTGTCAATCTAATTCAGTAAAAGTTGCTCATTACTGCAGCTCTGGTAGGTCTTCTTTTGTCCCTGGGCTGCCTGTGAGACACCCTGTTCTAGGTAAAGCACTTGTGAAAGTTCATGCAGTGAGTGAGCTGTGCCTGTTTTCAGACATACAGCACAGTAGGCTGTAGCTTGATTGGTGGTATTTGTCCATCTTGAGGCATGCAGGTCCTCTTGTAAATGAAGGTAGACTTCTGAGCATAAAAAAGCGTGTAAATTTTAAAAATTTCAAGTCACTTCGTGCAGCCTGTGTCTTTTGTTAAAAAATAAAGTTGCATTGCAAATGATCTGGATATACTGTGACATGTTTCAGTACAATAATTTATCTTCTTCTCATCTATTGTAAAAATTCAATCTGATATTCATTCCTTAAGCCATGTAATGCATTTTAAAATTTTTTGTTTGCAGGTCTATCTTTCCTATCCATCCTTCTTTCAGAATAGTGGTCTTAGCAGAGCCTCCTGTCATTGGAAGTAGTACCCAACAATGGCTGGGTCCAGAGTTTCTGACACTGTTTCTTTTTCATAATGTTCGCTCTTTAAGCAAGAGTGAAGAAATTGAAGTCATTAAACAAATGGTAAGTACATTCAGTACTTCAGGCACTTACTGGCTTACTAAACAGGATTATGTGCTACATAAAATATATTGCTATTTCAGTGTAGCATAAAGGAGCTGATTTTCAAAGCTTATCAAAGCAACATACCTGCTTATCTTTTAATGGCATAATTCTTATTTTAATATCAAATGCTGCTGTAATAAAAAATACTCTTGTCATAAAGCAACTGTGGCGACTCTATAGTTATTGCATGTGTGAAACTTGGATATCTTGCAGTAAGATTAATACTGTTTTTCTTTCAACCAGATTCCAAATGTACCCAGCGTTGCTGTGGAAAAGTTGTTGTCAGTAACACACAAGCTTCGGGAGACAAATGATGCCACTGTGAGCCCTTTTTCTTCTTTTCTCTTTGAATTTACTATCTCCTACTGTGATTGTCTTAACAAAGGCTAGGTGAAACATGCTAAGCTATAGTATTATTTCAAAGGCTGCCTGATTGGAAAACCAGCCCCAGAAGACTATTGCTGGCAATTACTGTGCTGCATACTATAACATACTATAACCTTCTTTGATTCATGATGTATGTATTTGGAATCTCCATAAGTGTTAGGAATTTGCACAAATCCCAGAGAGTCAAAAACAGAACACAGTGAGTTTAGGTATGTGCCTTACAGTGAAACATGATGAGGTACCTTTTGGATGTGTATGGATATAGTCAGATGTTCAGGTATTTTTTTATTACTTTGCTTTAGTAATTGGAAAATTGATAGCTGTAGTTATTGGGGCTTTTTGGGCAATAGGAGCTATGTAGTCATTATAAAATAACAATGGGCAGCAACAGAGATTCAGAAAATAGAATGCTCCAGGACTCCTGGCTGCATTGCTGCTATAGGCTATTCTGTTAATGAAGTAATGTCAGGAAAAATAAGTTCTCCTGACAAAGTGACCACAGTATTCTTTAAAAATACAGTTAATTCATGGTGAAAAGAAAAAGAAATTATTGCTATGGCACCTAAAACACAGCATGCCTTTGATATAAGTAAAAGGTAAAACACTTTTGCTGGAATCCAGCAGTACCAGCTTAACTGGTACTTAACAAATTTAATTCATTGTCCTTAGTTTTCACTATTTTAACATTGATAATAGTTTTTACGGTTTTACTGTTTAAGAAGCTGAGAGAAGCTGTTATGTTCTTTTGAGCTTAAAAAAGTAAGTTAAAAAATTGACTTTTAGGTATACTGTTGGACAGTTGTTATGATCATCGGTTGAGCTTCCTACATCTAATGTATAAATGTATCAGTTTTGACATACTTGGAGACATACCATGCCTGAATAGAGCATCACAAAAATCTTTTCCAAATATGTGGATATCTGTAGAATTGTGAAATATCTAAATGAATTCTGTGATGCTGAATGAGAAGTGAGTCACAGTATGGTTCGAGAGAGGATTCTTGTAGATCAGCAGTGACATGAGACATGTTGGGAACAGCACACCTGTGCAGAGAGATTAAATGTATGCCTTATGCACATTAGGATATTTATAGAGTTGTCTAAGTAAATAAGTCTCTGCCAGAGATTATGCTGAAATATTAACCATTGTTTAAAGGGGTTTTGTTAACAATGGAATACCTGTAGACTGTTCACTCTGTGGGCGTTGTCCATGTCATTGTAATTGTTTGCTTGATTTACAATAGAATCTGGAGGCCACAATCAAGATACTGTTGAATTAGATGCCTCATAGATACGTATTAAAAAAATTGTCACTAACACAATTTTATGTTTGCAGTTGTCCAATATAAAAAAACCCGAGCAAAACAGGTAATAGAGGAGGAAATTTTGTTGACATTACTTTCAACTACCAGTTGGAAATACTCAGAAGACATGATACAACTTTTTCTCAATGGTCCTATCCTCTGTGGATAGTAAGAATAGAACATTTACTCTTGCCCTTGCTTCAGGCATGGCTGAGTAGGTCTTGAAGTAACTTATGCCATCATTTCCATCACAATGTACACAATGCTTGCTTGTAAACTATGGTTGTTCAGAAGATGCTTTACAATCTTCTGTCAGTGAAAGCAGGAGGAACAGGAGTAGCAATCTTTGCAGTTAGCCCAATCTAATAATTCTTGCTCCCTGCTCAGAGGTATGCTAAAAAGTATTATTCTTTCCTTTCTCATAATTTGAGAGAACTTTTGTGTGATTTCACAGAACTGACTTTTTTTTTTTTTAATTTAAATGCCTTTTTGTCAAAATTGCTGGTTTTCAGGGAAAGAAATTGGTGTTAAGATATTTCTTATGCTTAAAAATTAATAAACAGGAAAAAAGGCTCTGAAATTCATTAAGTATTGTTTTTGTCTATTTTTTCTGCTAGATTTCAAATGTCAAGATTTTTTTTTCCAATTGAAACAGCATCATATGTTAAGACAATTTTAATGCAGTTAGAATTTTTATATAAACTTGTGTAAACCCAAACAAAACATTTTGAAATTACCTAATTAAAATATTTCACTTGACCCAGGCAAAACATGGCGTGACTTATCAGATCACACTCATTGTTGTGTGTTTCCTGCTAAAATAAGGAACCTATTTGTATTAGATACCTTCATCCGGTAGATATAATTATAGAATGATTTCTTTCTCAGTATTTGGATCCTTCTTTAAATACATGGTTGCTTGTTTTGTGGTTCTGTTTGTTTGGTTTTTTAAATTTTGCTGTGTTTGTTTGAGGTCTGCCTTCCCAAGCGTTGAATAATTTCTGTAAATCTTTGCTGGTTCATGTCCAGTTTTGAGCATTTGTTTTAACATGTGGACAACAGCAAAGGACACAGTGTTCCAGTAATGGCCCGCCCAGAAGGCGTGTGCAGAGGTGATACAATCTCCGTAATGCTGCCCAGTGTTGTCTTGTTTATATGTCTAAGAATCCTGCCAGACCTTTTTGCCAGAGTGTTACATGTGGAGCTCATATTTAGTTTGTGAAGAGCAGATGACTTTTTAGCACGTTGATCTTTTTGCAGTAGCTAACCTGCTTTTTATTGCTGATATTAATGTTAGGGTTTATATTGCACATAAAATTCAGTTCACAGCACATTTTTCTTCCTGTTGCTTATCAAGTGATATTTTAAGACTAATCTTGTGGTGACATAATGATTTCCATGACAGTGACTTACTGCAAAAAATACAAAATTACAAGCTTGCCTATTAAAGTGCATGAGTTGCTGTAGAAGGCGCAAAGCATCTATGAATTAGGAGAAAAGTTGAAATTATTCCTTTTGGATTGTGTTTTTCTCCTGACTTGTTCACTCTAAACCCCTCACATGGATTAAATAATTAAACTACCCTGTATTTTTTGACAGGCACAGTCACTGGCCTCATTTTTATCTACTCGACAACTGTTGCGAATTTGCCGTCGACTGTCACAATATCCAGATGAAAGCCTTTATGATGCTGTTAATAAAGCCTGCCTTTCCAGGTAGAACTGCTAGTTTTGGTGGAAGTTCCAAGAACTTCTTGGTCAGTTGATAACGTGCAAGATAACTTTTATTGTATTTTAGTAAATAATGCTATTGCTGTCTTGCTCCTTGAAGTTGGTTATTTCTTTAAAAATATTTCTGTGGTATTCTCAAACCTGGAACGTAAGTGGAAAGGAGTTGGTATGCTTTTCCCATCTCTATGAAGATACATCATTACATTATATAAATTAGGTCACCATTATCAGCATAGCAGTCTAAAAACATTTAAAGCAGAGCCATATTAATGTCTAGTTTGACTTAGGTTTCATGGACACTTGGTTTTAGTTCTAAAAGCTGTATCTAGAAGAGTTACAAGGGTTTTGTTTGCTTTGGGATTTTGTTTGTGGGTTTTGGTCTGTTTGGGCTTTTGTGGTTTGGGGATTTTTTGGGGTTATTTCCTCTTTTCAAAAAAAGCCAGTTGTTATTATCAAAAGGTTTGGAAAACTGAAAAGGTCTAGATCTAGACACCTCAGAGCTGACTCTTTCTGTCTGGAACCTGAGATCCAAGTGAACTGAGTAATAAGAAAAGGTATTTCCAAAAAACAATTGTTTCTGTTGTGGCTCTTACTTGCAATGGAATGAACATGCCTCCAGCTCTAAACCACCCTCCATTACAGCCCTATTGCAGTATTTGATAACGCTGAAGCCTTTAAAAAAGAGTGCACCGCCACAAGTGTAGTTCATTGCCTATGAAAGAAGGCAATTCCTCTCCTTGGCAATAGGTGAAATGTGAAAGGAATAGACATTCAGGGTTTGGCAGTGCCAAATATAATCTGTAATCTAAAGTGAACCTTCATTTTAGATTACAGATTATATTAGATTTAGATTTTTAGATTACAGAAAATACTGAAAACTTTTAAAAGAAAAACCCTTGAAATACAGCCTCCCTATTATTCCCCTTCTTTTAGATTTTTACCAAACCTCGCCAGATCAGCTTTACACAAAAATCTGCAGGATTCTGGTATTGAAACAAGTCCAGATGACACAGAGAAACTAGAAGGAAAGGATTACACATGTAAGCTTCTGCTTTTTTTTTTTTTTCCTGCTCTGCATGAATGTTACTCAAATTGCTGGATGTATAAAGGTGTACTAGTTATCCTCAAAATTAAATGTAATTTTCTTCAGTTGTATCTCTGACTTTGTTCTATCAGAATGTGTTGCTGCTCTCAGTATGTTGTATTGCCTGCTGAGTTCCCTGCTCATGAAATTTTGTTTTCCATCATGTTTAAGTGTTTCTCAGTCTATAAGATCCATGGTCTCAGGCTGTAGTATTGCTTTTTCATTTTTCATCACTGATAGTCAGTCCTCTGTGGAGTTACATCCTTAGTTTGATCTTAACATTTCTCTGTTCTGTGTTTTTTTACCATTGCTTCTTTCTCTCCCCTGTTAAAATCAACTTTTTTTTTTTTTTTTCTGAGATTCTTGTAGAAGTTTTGTGCTATCATTTGCTTTCATTCTGGCACACACTTCTTTGTTATTCTCTTTATTCTCTTTAAATTGCTGTGGTAGCTGCATGTCACCTTTATTGAGCAGGTCTTAGTTTCTTTGGCTTATCCAACTTGTAATCATTTGTAGCTGCCTTCAGGGCTATGCATATATTTCTGCTTCTGCCATTTTTCTCACTTCTGCTTTCTCATTCCTGGATGACCCTCTTCATGCTAGCTGTATATCTTTTCATATCCTCTGTCAGGCAGCATACTGTGAGCAATTTGCCGTTTTCCATTCACTACATTTCTCCTGTTCTCTGCCTCACCAGTGTTATCTCTGCTCTTGTTCTTCTGTACATTTGTTCCCAGTTTTGTGATGTATTAGATTTCTGTATTTTTACTGTTAGATCTGTGCAGTGGTAAACACATCTTTGATCTTAATTCATGTGGATCCTATATTTATGACTTTATTAATGTCTGTGTATATAGAAGTACATATGTAGATAGTGATATATTAATGGATATATAGTTTCTATTATATGCAGTACAATATGTGCATATATCAGCCATATACATATATACATATATATCTTCAACCATCTATGTATTATTATATCTATTATTCACATTTATATACAAAATAATTTGGACTCTTGTCAGTTGTGTGATGCTACCTGCTTACATTTTTTTTTTTTTTTTAATCTGGATACATGCCTTGAATTTTCTGTGTTTCTCTGTTTCATGCCATAAAGGCAAGCAGCTAAAAGCACCTGTCTAGAAATAAGGGTATTTTCAGTTTTACACCATGCCAGATTAAGAAACCAGTAGCAAAAAAAAAAAATAAAAATATTGCTTTTGTTATTAATTACATGTATTTGTTATTCCAGCCTACTCCTTTTTCTTAGCTTTTCTATCTGAGCTGACGTCATATGGTATGGAATATACCTGTGGTTACTTTGGGTCAGTTAGCCTAGATGTGTCCTGTCCCAGGATCCTGCCTATCCCAGACTACTGATGGGGGGGAAATGCTGGGGAGACAGTGCTGATGCTGTGCTGGCCCTGCTCAGCAGGAGCTAAAGCACTGGTGAGGCAGCCCCAGCTCAGAGCAGAGCAGGACAATCCCCTCCTTTCCCACTGGTGATGCTCGGCATAATGCCCCCAGGACAGGGTTGGCCCTCTTGGCTGCCAGGGCACTGCTGACTCAAGTTCAACTTGCCATGGACCAAGACCCCCAGGTCCCTTTCCATGGCCCTGCTCTCCAGCCTCTCATTCCCCAGTCTGTCTGTACATCCAGGGTTGCCCCTTTCCAGGTGCAGAATCCAGCACTTGTCTTTGTTGGACTTCATATGGGTGGTGATTCCCCAGCCCTTGGCAGGGCATCCTTGTCCTCAAGGAAGTCTACAGCTCTTCCCCGTTTTGTATCATCTGAGAACTTGCTTAGTATCCCTTCCCATTCTTTAGTATCCCTTCCAAGACATTTATGAAGATGGTGAAGAACAGAGGGCTTAAGTTGGTGCCCTGTGGAACCCCACTACTGACTGATGTCCCCCCATTCACTATAACCCTTCATGCCCAACAAGCTCCATCTCAACCAGACCCAGTACACTCCTTTACATAAGAATTAATATTGCATGTTTGAAAAGCAAGGAGAATAGTACTTAGAGAATTAGTTATTAGAGTTATTAATTATTCATTTGAAATCGTTTATCTTATTAATTAGACATTAGTGTCAATTAGTTTATAGTAGTAGTAAAGAGTGGTTAATGAATACAAGGAAAAGGAAGGGTTGTGTGACTGGGCTTTTTGCTTTCTGTTTCTCCAGCACCCTGTTTTGTAGAGCAGCTTTCTTCTCTGTCTAGCATAAAACTATCTAGCATAAAACTTTCTAGCCTCAAAACTGTCAGACGAAGGTATCCTTAGGAAGAGATTTACTCTCTTCGTTACCTTTGGACTATTTTGCTACTGAAAGGCAACACTGATAGCATGATCTTGTGAAATACTTTACTTTTAGGGGCCTGGTATGGGTTTCCATACTTTCTTTTCCTAGTCTTTTTTTTGTACCTCATTTATAATTTTGCCCCAGAAAGACTATGCTCCATGCATATCACCTATTGAAGGTGATGACAAGGGAAACAGGTGACAGACTTCTTCATCTTCCCTACTAACATTTCATGTGAGATTTTGTTCTCTGTTGCCATTTTGGTAGAGCACATAATTTGTGTCTGTTGGAAATGAAATCCTGAGTTCTCCTAGGACTTAACACCTGCTTTGCTTTTTCTACCTTCTTGCTTATAGCTTCAGAAAACTGTAGACAAAACTGTGTTCAGATTTTATTCAGGAAACCTCTGTTAAAATTGCTGCAGCGAATGACCTGCTCTGTATCTGTCTTTGAATAGCTATGCCTGCTAAATGCTGAAGGAAACAGCAACCAAATACCAGTCAGGATAGGTGTTCCAATTTCTAAATGAATTCTACTCTTATTTTCTGTATTGCTACTTTGCAGTTTGGTGATTCAAGTGCTGTAATGATCATTTAACAAAACCTGCTAGAGAATGAATTTGATTTGAGTTTAGTGCAGTGCTTCATTACCTAAAGCTACAGAAATAAACTGAAAACAGAGAAAAGATGTGTCCACAGCCCTTTGCTGTGCTGCACAGTGTAATGAAACACATAGATTTTTGCCTTTGTGTGTTTGGTCTTGAAACAATTCACATTACAATAGAATTCAATATTGCCATGAAACATTGCTGTTGGTCCACAACAGGTGTCATAGGGATGGGAACAATTTTTTTAGGTAATATGCCAAATGCAATTTTCAGACAAGGCACTGGGGAACGTGGACTGATAAAGCTGACGGATGTGTCTACTTACAACTCCTTTGCCTAAATAGGTAATATTAAATGTCTGCCTGCATCATAATACAATGCTAATTAAAGACCTGGTGCAAAAAAAGAACCAGCAGAAGAAGTATCAATACATAGTATTTCTGGTGGGTAAGCTGCTTTGCAGGGGAACCACAATGTATGTATATTTGTTCAATCTAGGATAAAAAAAAGGTCATCAAAAGGATGTATTTGTGCCTTAGCAATAAAATTTAAAATTGTAATCTGTGTGTGGTAAACTGACTTCCTAGAATTGCTCCTATATCTGGTCATATTTATTTTCCTCAGTTATACACATGCCAAAAAATAGAATGATTTGCCTTGAAGTGCTCTCCTTAAATTGTGTGTTGAGCATTCAGTAGTCTTTTGAAATGCCTGGTTAGGATTTCATGGTATTAAGCTGTGTTTACAAGAGTTTCTTTCCCCACCCCCAGCCTGTATGCTAGAGAGATTTGAAAATTTAAAATATCCTTCACACAGAAATGAAGGGTTTGTATGCTCAGATCAACAAGCAAGCTGCTGATTTTTAATTTTGATATTAATCAAGTCCTAGAGATGAGATGATAATGTATTTATTTAAAGACAATCATTCATTTCTCTAAGTAGGTTGACTGACCTACTTACAGATGACCTATTTTTACTAGATACAGTGGAGAAATATACGCGACTTTATTGCGAGTAAAGTAGTCTGCATTGCCACATTATCCTGCAATCCTTTCTGTCCTTTTGAACAAATAATTTGTGAGAAGTGAGATAAGGTTAAATGATGCACAGTGTGTGTTACCTGTTATGATAGTGGATATATGTAAAAATATACCTCCAGCATTTTGGCTTCAATTAGGCACATACGAACTAATAATTAATAAAAATAATAGGCACATATTGTAAGACACATATAAACACTTTCAGACTTGAACACACATATTCCTATCTTAATTTTCCTTGAAAATAAAGTTTGATTAGAACAGACAAAGTATATTTGTTCTTAAGTTAGACCTGGTGTTTAATGTTCAATAATATATACGTGTATAATTAGCATATGTCTTTCATTCTCTCTGTTTGGTTTCTGTAATGTTCTGCTAGGATATTGCTGGAAAGTTGGCACAAACTAAAGAAAGTTCTTACACTCTGGGTGACAAGCATTCAATTAGGCTAAAAGGAAATGTATAAAGAATGATTACAGAGAATTAAAAGTATTTAGGGAAATCAGGCTCCCACAATGAGTTTGAGCAGAGGATGTAAATGCTTCCTTGTTCTAATCACTGAATATATTGCCTCTGCTATTATTGGCTGAGAGGCTCTTGCTATGAAATAAATAGCTGTAAGTATAAAGTTCAAAAATATTTGGCCCCAAATCCTTGAAGTTATGTTCTGGTTGTATCACTGTCATTAGCAAATGCATAAATTTGACAGCATAAAATCAAGTGAAAATTGTGGGTTTTTTTCTCTAGCATATGATGGTAATGGAAGATATGCTCAAGGACTTTCTGCTGGGAGAGCATCTTCTTTTAGTTGGCAACCAGGTGAGTTAAGTATTTCTTGCAATGCATGGAACAAACTCGTTATTCAGTAATATAATTAAGTCTCTGTTTTGCATATTTGTAATTGCATTAATTTCTATTACTGAGGTATTTGGCCCATTTTTCAATTCCTTATTTAACATTGTCCAGGGATTTTATAGGCACACATTTGTGGAAAATGTAAATGCTGTAAATGTATATGGCTGTCAGAGTAAAAAGTCAAGGCATTAATCACAGAATATTCTGAGTTGTTAGGGAACCACAAGGATTATCAAAGCACAACTCGTGGTTCTGCAAAGGACCATCCTCAAGAATCACATGCTATGCCTGAGAGTGTTGACCAAATGCTTCTTAAACTCTGTCATGCCTGACCAGTCCTCTGGGGAGCCTGTTCCAGTGCCCAAACACCCTCTGGGTGAAAAACCTTTTTCTGATGTCCAATCTAAACCTCTCCTGACATAGTAATAGCTGTATGTAACATCATTAGCATTAAAATCTTCAATCAATGGCTTTGGTTATCCTTCTTGACTATGTATCAAACCACTGCTTTAAAATCTCCAGTGGTAGGTAAGAGGTGTACACTTCAGTAGCATAGCAATCCTATGGATAGCTAAATATTAGTTTTCTCTAAAAGAGTAATAGATTTGTATAGTTCTTTGACTAGTATCTTTGCTGATCAGTACTTCATTGTTGAAGTTGGATTTTCCCCCTAAAAGTAATACCCCTTTAGTTTAGCTGTCCCTCAGCAAGGATACAATCATTTTTTTAGCAGATGTGTCTCTTTTTCTTTTGCAATAGTCTGTAGAACATGTCTAACACAAAGCACTAACAATTTAACCAATATGGCAATGAATAAAAAATGTTAATTATTATTAATATGCATATATTGAAGTATAGTCTCAGCTGTTTAGCATCCTTGTTATCAACTTGAATTTACAAAGATGGTTTATTTGAAACCTCTGTAGACTTTTGATGGATAATGCCAGCTTCTCCAAAAAGTTTAATCTCTTCATAAATAGAAATTGATCTACTTCATAAATGAAACAAGATCTATTTATTGTATTTCATAAACAGTGCGGTCTGTGCCTGCTTCCAAGCTGGTATTGGAAATGTTATGTAGTACAGATTGCCTGTAGCAACTGTTGGCAAGGAATGGCAGGAGCAGGCTGAACCACAAGAAAACAGAGGCAGGGACAGAGTCCTTAATGATAACTTTTGCAGTCCGTCAGTGCCAAAGCAAGAGTAGCAGATCTGGGGACAGTAGCCATGGTCACCCAAGTGCTCAGTGGCTGTCAGACAGGTCCATGGTGAATGAAGCTAGTCTGAGACCAAACTGGAAAGTCAAGTCAGCAGGTTCAGGCTGGAATCAGCAAGATACAGGGCCAAGCACAGCATTGCCACAGTGCAGGTTGGGAAGGAACCAAGGAAAGGGCTTGAATGTAAATGCAGCTCCCAAGGCATGGGGGACAAAAGAAACCCCAGCAAAGCAGGAAAACCGTGTCAGAGCTGACCTTCAATACCAACATGTAAAACCCTAGGTGTGGGTAAAGAGCTTGTGTATACCAGTGGTAAATCAGAGCTCTGACACGTGCCTCATTTGACAGAAAAGTTTTGAAGACTATGCAAGTACAATTATTAGGATATAATGGATTTTTCCAGCAGTTATAGTCTCATCTCTAATAATTTGATGCATGTCACATTTTCTTCCATCTTTTGAGTCTCTAATTGAAGACAGCATTAAAAGATTTGACTGAAGTATTGGAACATATTGCTTTCATTCCAGACATCAGCTCAGCTGTACCATTAAGTTGGAAAATTAGTTGATTTGCTGCGCTTTCTCTTTGGCAAATCAGCAATACAGTTGGTTTTGGGTTTTTTTTTTTTAATTACTAACATACTTTTGAGTACTTCCAGGTTTACTCTTTACAAATTTGTTCCACAGTTTTTATGTGTGACTAGAAAAGGCCAACAGGCCTTTTCCTTTCAAAATACTGTTTTTAAGTTTGAAGTGCTGAATTTGCCATTCTGCAGTCTTTTCAGTACCACAGCAATCATTCTTCATTTCTCAGGAATGATCACTAACCACTTAGAAATTCCTTGGCTAATTCCTTAAATATTTTACTGTAAATTTGTGCAGCTTGTGATGAATCATGTTCAAGTAGTTTAAAAGCAACCACATTTCATCAATTGTGCTTTCATGAAGTATGTGTAGATACCTCATTGAAGGTATTAATGTTTTCATCCATTTTTTGTAAAGAAAATTATTTTTAAAAAGTTTTTTTTTTCTGTTCAGTTACTTGTATCAGTTCAGTCTGTATAAGAAGCTGAGGTTTTGTGATGCCTTGATATATACATCAGTGTGTACCTGTGTTTCCCATTTGGAAAAAACAGATAATGATTTTGAGGAGATACAAAGTACTGTTTTGAGTTCCTTTCCCTTAAGTGTCTTAATAGTGAATGAGTGAATCATGGAAATTCAATGTAATAACTGAAAATACAAATTCTTGGAACCTGAGTATTTCAAAACATACGACTAACATCCCTTTGAAAGCTTGTGTCATTTCCTAGATATTTAATTGAGTTGGCATTTACCTTAGGACATAATTTGGTCTTTCAAAACGATGACTGTGTAAGTATCTCCATTCAACTGTGATTTAATGTGCAAGGCTTGACCTGTAGTCTTTCTTTTGGAGTCTGGATTTGTTTTGGTTGGTTGACTAAATGCGGTTTTCCACCTTTGCCTCTTCTATTTGCACAACACATGTACACAGAAAAAGTCCTGTTAGCTTAAGACCTCTTGTCTTTTCAAAGTCTGTAAGTGTGGTTTCTTCTATGACTCTAAGAGCTGACTGATGAGAACCCTTTTACCAAGACTGTTTTCAAGATATAGACTCTATTAGTATCAGTAAATTATAATTAAGTTATCTTGGTGGATGTTAGGGACTGGCTTTCTTAATGAAACTGAGGAGAGTTTGAAGACAAATGTCAGATGCCAACAGATATTTTTAGAAGTACTCAGCTTCTGAAGTAAACTGCTTTACCACACTTCATTCATGTTTGTTCCCTGAGGCTTATTATGGCCCAGGATTTCACAGCATAAATGTTTTACACAAAATATAAATATTTGTTTACAGTGGTTGATGATTTGCTTTGGATATTAACTAGAATGTGTTTCCATTTTGTATACAAACAAACAGGTTTCTTTGAGATCAGTGGATAGATGTGAATTTTCAGCTATGAAGTAGTTTCCAAGTAAAGGGCATGCCAGTGCCTTAAATATGGATTCTGATGTTGCTTCCTGAATGAGCCTGTAGTCTGAGCATGAGTGAATCCATCTATGACCATCTACAGTTTTTCAAAGCACGTGCAAAGCAGCTTCTTCTTTGGCTGAGAGTAAGAAGCTGCATATTACTCTCACGCCAGCCGGCAAAGAACAGCAAGAGCCCCCATTTGTTTCAAGTGTTGCAATGACTGTTTATGTACTCATTAAATATAGGTCTTGCAGTAGCTTTTGAGATTCATGAGACAGACTGGAGTAGTGATTCTGACTACCTAGGAAAATTTTTAGACTGTGTTTTTGTGATATTTTTTCCTGATGGACAATGTGCAGTTTGTGGATTGGGCCACTACTTGCTATCTTTTGCTGTCTCCTTGGATTTTCTTTGCAAGTGCAAGAGAAAGTATGTTAATAAATAGAATTTGCTTATGTGGAAAACCCTGTGGAAATAGCATTGGCTGAAATGATTTTGTCTCACAATTTTAAATGTTAAATATAACATTTCCCAAATTCTTGCATTTGGAGGTTATGTAAATACATGTGTTGGATGCTTTCACCTTTATTAGTCGTAGGTGAGGTCTTGGCAGCCATCATCTGTCTTCGAAGATACCACACATAGTATTTATAGTTACATAGAATCTGTGGCTTTCTGGATAGAGAAGGCTCACAACCCTCTCACTTCTGAATTGTTTTATTGCTGTGAAATTCTAAAACACCCAACAGCATGTTAGGCACAATTGAGGTTATTTTATTTGGCATCACTTTGTTGCCATGAGTTATTGAGTGAGCTATTCAGAAGTAGAATGAAGAATTCTATGAAGGTGCTAAATGTTGTAAATAATCTGAAAGAAACTCTGGCAACACTTGTTAAAAGTGTTGATATTTAACCCACAGCAAGCAGACTATCAGAAATACATGAATTATGAGTACACTGTCCAGCCTGTGAAGGCTATGAGTGTCCTGTGGGTGGACTGGAGCATCTCTCTTACATGGAGAAGTTGACAGAGCAGGACCTGTTTAGCTTGGAGAAGGGATCTTGTCAAATCTTGGGGATCTTGTATACAAATACCTTAAGGGTAGGTGTCAAGACAACAGGGCCCAGTCTTTTTCAGTGGTGCTCAGCAATAGTACAAGGGCATCGGGCACAAACTGAAACACAGGAAGTTCCATCTGAATATGAGGAAAAGCTGCTTTACTGTGAAAGTGAAAGACCACTGGAACGTGCTGCTCAGAGAGGCCATGAAGTCTCCTTCCCTGGAGATTCTCAAAATGCAATCCTCCTGAATGCAATCCTGTACAACCTGCTGTAGGTGAACCTGCTTTAGCGGGGTAGTTGGACTAGATCTCCAGAGTTCCTTTCAACCCCAACTATTCTGTGATTAAAAGGACTTAGAAATGTAATGGCATTCTGGTACATTTGCTAATATATTTCCCTGACAGAATGTAATTTCATCCTTTCTGCTGCCTTTCTTTAACTGGGAGATCAACTTACATGAATTCTTGGGCTCACACTAGGAATTTACTTTATTCTTGAAGAATTTAGTAGGACAAATGATTGAGTCTTTCTTAAAGATTTTTTAAATGACATGCTTGATTAGATGTTTTCTTCTAATATAATATTTTTATACCTAACTCATTGTGAAATTGAATTAAGTACAAACTGAGAATGTCATAATATCAGTCATCAAAAAACTTGAAATAGCAAATGCTTGGCATTTCAACTTTT